AAGGATCGTATTATCGATGACTGTGCTTGCTAGCCACTGACGTTTTACTGAGAGTGTTTGGGCAAAGGTTGAACCGATGAAGAGTTCAGTTTTTATCTGTATGACTGCGGCGTTGTTCACCGTCAGAGTGACTTGCACGAACCAGCCACAGTGTGTCTCCAACTGCATAGCACGCATGCAATGACTTCCCAGGTGATGTGCTATGCGCACGGGCCGCCTACAAAACGTTACAGCCCTGGAAGAGTGGCAAGTGGATTCCTGCCTTAACACCATCCGAAGGCACTGCTCGAACACGCCCAGTTTATAGCCCTAACCAAAGACTACGGGTAATCAATTTTTCGGTTGACGTTAAATAAGGTTGTTCTATCATTCTCTCTCATTTGCCCGTTGCCATGATGTTTCGTTGTTATTTCTCTCCAAATAACGGTTAAGGTGTCCGAACACGATAGACCGATACCACTTTTCTATCGTTCTCTCCCCCTCTCTCTCTTGAAACAGTTTATGAATGAAAATATTTTTTCTCACTGTAGTCGTGATCGCTGTCTTCGCAGCAGGAACAGTAAAAAATAAATAGAAAGAAACATCGACTGGCAATTTAAACAGCTGCCGTTCACGCCGCTTGCATTGCGCCGCCTGGATGTGTCGTTTCGTGAAAAATGTCGGGAAAAGGAGGAGAAAATTTGAGGACTGCAGGACGTACAGAAATGTGGTCGAGTGCCGTTTTGTACTCTGTGTTTTTATTTATTTATTTATTCATTTATTTTAATACTCTAAAAGTCCTATTGGGCATTACATAGAGTGGGGTGTAAATGAATACATGCATTTTATACGGACGAGATACGACATAGGAAACAAGAAAAAGGAAACAGCGAGTCGATCGAATCACATCGTCGAGTCAAGTACACTCACCAAAATAAGTCGTATGCATATTCATAGGTGCAGTTTTTTTAATAATTATGAAAACGCTTATAAAAATAGCCTCGAAGAACACTGAATAATATCGCGAACAGAAACCGTAAGTGAAACGAGGGCAATCAGACGCAGGTTAGCAATGTCACTCGCTATGCAAATAGCCCTGCAGCGTCGACTGAAATGTGGAAGTACCTGTTATTTCGGCGATTTTAATGTGTATGAGAGTTCTACTCAATGGTGGGTAATGGTAATGGCGAAATCACTGGTCCTGGCAAAAACTGGGACCACCTTGTACGCATGATCGATGCGCGTTGAGGTATGAGGGTTTGGAAAGATTTGAGACTGCGCGAAGGATGAGTTAACGTGGTAAGGTATAGATGAAAAGACGGTATAGTCTAATATGTCGCCTGTGCATGGAAAGTGTGGTTCTTGAAACACTTCTGTAACGGGGCTTTGATGATGAGATAAACTGAACAGCCTTATTCTGTAGAGAGAGAGAGACGAGAAAATGGAAGGCAGGGAGGTTAACCAGATGCTAGTATCCGGTATGCTACCCTACACTGGGGTTGGGGAATAGGGGGTTGAAAGAGAAAGGGAGAGTTAAAAAAAACAAAACAAAAAAACCCTTATTCTGTACCATTTCGAACATGTTAATAAGACCGATTGGGGGAGGATGCCATAAAACTTAAATGTTAGAGATGATCAAATCTATGAATTGAAAGCGCGCAGTCCCTATTAATAACGACTAATAGATTCCCTATTAGTCGTTTGAGGTGGCTGTGTTTCTTATGAGCCTCATCAGTAATGCGTTGTATGTACACGGTCCAAGCTTAAATCTTGGGTGGGTATTCACACTGACTCGTGACTTTTTTCACGTGACTTTTTTCTATTACCAAATCGTTTATTTTATAATAGCTATAGCATGTATAAGTGATAACAGTAAGCATGAAGTGCTTGGTTATGTAGACGTTAATTTCCGCCTGCCAATTGCTGCATCATTCCCTTAACCGGATGATCCGTTGAAGTTCTGCAACGTCATCTGTGCAACTTCTTTTTCAATAAACAACACAATCGTCCGCAACAAGACGAAAATATGGCCCAGCACGCTGCCTTGTGGCACACCAGATGTTACTCGGGTTGGATGAGACATTTAGTAGTTAAGTTTAACGGACTGAGGCCTGTTGCGTGGAAATTCTTGAATCCATGCCGTCGTTTTCTGGTCGAGGTTGAAGTGACGTATTTTCAGCATTAGCCAATTATGCATGCGAAACGCGGTCAGAAGCCTTCGAAAAGTCTGTGAAAATCGCATCGATGCAAATGGACATATGAAGAGCTTTGTGCAGGTCTGTCACGAGTTGGAAAAGTTGACTCTGACAAGATAACTTTTTATAAAAATGCATGTTGGTAGTGTGGAGGAGTAAATTGTTACGGTTGAGATGGCGCATGACCTGGGAGTGCATGGTGCGCTCCAGTAACTTGTATGAAATAGACGTGAATGAAATCGGAGTTGTTTGGGGTGATTGCTGTTACCAGACTAAAGAATGGGTACCACATTATAGCAGACTTCCAATCATCTGGTATACAACCAGAGTCAAGAGATTGCCGGAAAATGAATGCAAGCATGTGAGCTGAATGTCGGCAGGTTAATTTAAGAAGTTTCGTGCAAATAGTGTCATCGGGCTGGGTCAAGTTTTGAGGGGAAGTCAATTGATAGTTCTAGCTACCCCGTGCTCCGCTATTATGATTGCTGGAAAGGGGTGTTGAATGGGCAGTTGTGACAGCAAAAGAGAATCTTTCAGTGGAAGTTCGCGAGCACATATATGAAGTGCTCATTGAATTTTTCAGCTGAGTGTTCTATTGATAAGGCGCTGCCCTATTCCCATATTAGCACTCCTGTTGAGCGGGTGCTTTCGGGGTTCACGATATTCCAAAAGCTTTTATGGTCCGTTTTTTTTTATGAAGTTAGGCAGCGCCTCGTTAAATAATTAGTCTTTCGCTTGAAGGGTTACACTTTGACCTTTATCTGAAACATTTTCGTGTGCTTCCCAACCTTTAGGAAAGGTCGAGCAACTTGCTTTTCTATAACCTCCCCCCCCCCCCTTTTTTTTTTGTTAGGGGAGTGAATCATGGGAGCAATGCTACCGTTACCATGAGCCATCTGATCTAGAACTTATTATCAGTGTTTAGGAACACAGTGAGTTTCAATTTCCTTAGGGGGACAGGGTAAGCAAAATTTTTGAGCAATATTTTTTTTGAGTTATTTGAATTCTACGGCCTTTTCTGAACCAGAATCAGTCGTATGTTTATCTCAGAGGGTTTTTTTTCTTTGTCTATCTAAAATGACACATTTCAAAACTCGTGCCTTCTTACGTAGCAAGGGATTCTTTGCACTTCAAGTATCAATGCCACATGGAGAGATTACAGTTTGCACGCGGCAGCTTGCAAATGTGCCAAATGCACTGCACATTAAGAAAAGAGTGGGTCCAGAACTGCGAGAAGGAAAAAAAAAGCAGAGGCATCAAGCTTTCTGTCGTGAAATCTACATTTGGCCGAGGACGTCTTAGTAGTACCATCAATGGTAAGCACCAAAACCATTGTCGCTTGGTCATTAAAAGAATTGGAGCCAGCTTGGAGGAGATGTGAAAAAGCTATCCGGGCCGCATATTTTCACATGGCATCAAAGGACACCAATTTATGTCACGGCTTTTGCCCAAAGGACGCCGAAGCTTGGTGTTCGTTCATAAAAAAGCTCCTTACAGCATCTGTTATTGAGGCTGTTAAGCCAAATTATCCGGAACTAGCTCATCTAGAATAACGTCTATATGGAAAAACTCAAAACCCTAACGAGTAGTTCAATCGTCGTGAAGGAAGACGGTAAGTTGGGCCAGTTGGTTAGGATCTATCGTGAACTTACTTACAGCGCAACACCAGAAAAAAAAAAATACAGGACAGGGAAGGAGCAAAAGAGAACAGCGCCGTCTTTTCTTTCTCTTTTGTTCCTTCCCTGTCCTGTATTTTTTCTGGTGTTGCGCTGTAAGTAAGTTCACGTCGTGAAGGAGCGCACACACACACAAAAAAACGTTTTTATCGGACACCAAACACTGCAAATGTGCACTCCTGATGACGTGCTCGCTTTTATTGATGGCAATATAGCCCGCGTGAATGTGCTGAACTCCTTTGTAATTTCGCCAGCGCGCTGCACAGTGCAGGGTCTACACACCCTTGAGCTGGGTCGACAGTACTTGCTGACAGGGCTGCGCAGCAGGCGACAAAAGAGACTCGCTAGGCAAGGCATTTCTACACAAAAAGAAAAAAAAAATGATATCTGTGATGAGTATCTGACTCCTATTGAACGAGACTGTCAATTTTGTAGCTGTTATCTTGTTGTACATTTGAAGTAATGCACATTTTAAACTTTAAATGCGATTATCTCAAAACGTGCTCTTTGTTGTACTTGAATTTCTTTATCTCGGCAACTACAGTATTTAGAATCATAAATTGCGGCCAGTATTTAGATAATGTAATAGACAATATGCTGAAGCAGAATTATTCTTGTGTGAGGAACTGCTCTTCTTCAACAAGACATCTAATAGCTATTACCGAGTGATAATTAGGTACATTAAGTAAAAACATACAAAGGATAGCATTACAATTTTCCTAAATCTGCTTCAGAAAAAAAAGGAATGGCTTATGACCACACTGATGGTAAAATAATTGCTGTAACTGTTACGGTTATGGAGACACAGGCGCATAAGCTTTGCCTAAAATACTTACCCTGCTCTCTTAAGTTTATCCCGAAACAAACGCCAGTTTTAAGTAATCGTAGATTCGCAGCCCTTCATTGGCAGATTCGGAGTAACCGTAATCTGAGTTGGGTTCCTCTTAATACCGGAGCCTCATAAGGAGCCTGTGAAATATGTGCGCCGGGAAACACAGCGCGCGCGTCAACCGTTTCGGCTTTTTCTTTTCAAAAGAGGCGCGCCGCTGCTGCTGGTCCACGCGAAGCGCGGAGAAAGCGAGCACCTTCGAGGAGAGGGGGCGCATCATCTGATCACCTCACGCCACTGGCATCACGCCACTCTTTTGCCACTAACTGGTATTCTCTGCAGCCACGCGCTTGGCTGCATGGGGGTACGAATAGGTTGTTTCCAACACAAACGCGTTATTTAGCGGCATCGGGAGCCTGATATTGCTAAGGCATCCATACCTAATCACAGTTGTATTTTAGCGAGCGTTGAACACGAGTGGACCAGCGGCGTCGTCTGCTCCACCAGTCTTCCGCTCGCCCAGTACGCCATGGCGGGCACGTCGGTTCCGGCGTAGTTCGTCCAATCGGAAGGCTGAAAGTCATTCTCACGTGACATCTGGCTTCTTCTCCCTTGTATTGCCGGCCGGTCTATGGACGCGTGATCCTTTCTTTCTCGATCACAGACCGTCTTTAAAGAAAAGTGCTGCAGTAGTGCCTCGAAAACTACCGCATTGGATACCGTCTGCCCTTAGAAATAACCCCAGGCAAGTACTTCTTTCTTCGAGTATCGTTCGAATGCGCTCGCAGGACGTGTGCGCCCATCGGGCTGGGACACGGCAGTAAGCCCAACGAATGTCAAGTGGATGCATCGCCGGCCTCACTTGGCCTAATGCCGAAGATCACTTTTTTTTCTTTTTCTTTCTGTGCTGTCAGCGGATGCCTCGTGCAATTAATGTGAACCTGTATATCTATTCATAACTGGAGGTGTATTATGTGGTGTCCACAATTGCATCGGCCTGCGACATCTGTGTTTGCACTCGGTGCTTTTTGCTACCTTATAATACTGCAGTAAATCGTAATTCCTCATAAACTTTTTACGTCTGCATGATTGCATCACCTGTGTTATGTAGCTAGACTCAATTAAAAAGCATTGAACTGCCAGAGCGTTGAACGGTCGTTAAGCATGTCGGCTTTTTCCATCTCCTGCGTCGGCCGTTTAACCCGGTCGTGTGCACTACTCCTGGCTGTGCAGAAATGTAGGTGTTGGCTATGCCGCTTAGCGCCTTGACCGTGCTAGGCAGCACAAACCGACCTTTGGAGATCTTCCCAGTAGGTCCTGCGGATGATCGCCTTGTAGTTTGATGAACAGATGAACTGCGCCTATGTGTTCTCACTGTTCCCTGGATACCCCCCGCGCAAGCAGCTCGTTACCGTTTTGCTATGACGTGTGTCGTTGTGTGAGTGTTTCACAGAAGTAAAATTTGTATATTTTTCCCACTAATGTTCGCAGAAGCAAGCCATGTCGACAGTGACGGAAACCGTGACGCAGGAGCGTCCTGCCTCCAAGCCGTACAAGATGGAGATTGTATGGCGCAATGTGATTCTCATGGGGAGCCTGCATCTCTTCTCCATCTATGGTTTCTACTTGGTTTTCTTCGCCGTGCAGTGGAAGACCGTGCTCGCCGGTAAGGCTGATTTCTGACGGCTGGCGGGTGTTTCATTCATTCGCCTCGGCATGCTCGCGCGCGCTCTAGCGCACCGCTGGCTGCGCGGCATCACGGGCCAGCCCACTTGCCTCTCTCTCTCTCTCTCTCCCGTTCCTCCTTTCGTGCTTAGGTCGCCTGTTCGCGGCCGTGGTGCATAAAACGGCGTATATGGTGCGCTACTTTCTCTTGTTTTATGCTTCTTTATTTTTAACACTTGGTGCAATGGGTCATTTATTGATGGCTGCAGTGTGGTTATTAATTTTCCTATCGGATTTACGGCGAGCGTAATTATAGGCACTTGTGCCTGGGCCAGCTCGAAAATACCGGAAACCTATAATACAAGTTGTTACGGCTGAAGTGAGATTACAATTTCTGACAAGCGAGATAAGAGAATATATGTGAAACTTCTTGCTCCCTCCGCTCTTCTAGATGATCTGTTTAATTAGCAAAGATCGGTATGACTCAATTTTATCGAAAGTAACCTTTCGCGAGTGTTAGTCCGAATGAGCCCGCCTCAGGAAAATTTTCGTGAGTTCGAGTGAGCTCAAAGCTCAAAACATATTTAATGAGGGAGTTTGAGTGAGCTCCACAAGTTTTCCCGTCCTATGCATGGTAGTGGCATTAACCCTAGCTGTGAATACAGGTTCACATACTTACGTCACAAAAAAAATATATTGTCCTCACATATTATGTACCATGAGAAAGATCTTTGTGTAATTATTTTTTTTTAATTATAACTCACCCGGTTCTTCAAACATTTAAATTCAGACTATTTGGAAGGAATTTAAGTATAATCTGAGAAAATTTGAGTACGATCGGTTGGATAGTTTTTCAAAGAAGGTACATCAAGTTTTGAACATTTACAAAAAAAAAAAAAAAAGGCCAGGAGAAATGCACGTCATTATGCTTCAAACAGGCACGCAGCCAGGATTTGTGGGGGGGGGGGGGGGGGGGCTCATTTTTGTTCAAAAGAAAATTCTTTCATGGCAAATAGAAAGTTCCCCCAAAATATAGAAGGTGGTTAATTATTTGAAGAAAATGCGAACAAACAAAAAACACATTTGGGAAAAGAATTTTATTGGATAACAAATAACTAAAACATGAATGATTCCCTGACACAAAAGAGGCAGAATGTTAACATTGATTTTAGCAAGCAATTCAAAGAATGGCATTGCCAATGGTTTTACAATATAGTAAATATCAATGTGAAAGAAAAAAACAGGCGAACATTTAGCCTGGCAATAGACAACTGTTCTTGCTACAAGTTTCATGTGTCGGGGTTTCTCCATAAACAAAGCAATAACGTCGTCGATACTGACTTGTATCCGGTGAGTGCACATTAGGGCCAAATTATCACCTTAGCCGTCCGGTTCCTCAAATGCGTTTTCACTTTTTTCAGTGCCGAGAATATATGTATGCATGCACAGCAGCTGTATTGACTGGGAGTGTTGTTAAATACATTGAGGAGTGTGTGAATGTTCTGGAAGAGGGCTTTGTCGCATTCAGCTAAAGTGTGTCGCAAAGCAGGGAAATTCGTCTACTTGCATGGCTTGCCATTCAGTTTTACAGATTTCCCATTTATCTTAGGTGTAAGCGTATGAGCTGTTGTCATATCTCTCAAGTAAAAAACAAAAGCCGGCTGCACAGATTCGAATTTGCCTTTGGAGGCATGCTTTGGCAACACAAATTGCAAACTTTGCTGTGTTTTGCGATGGTTTGTAAAACATCTTTTGAGGTAAGCTTTCAGGTCATCAATGTACAGGGTGAACAAGGCTTGCCTGTAGTAATCTTCTGCAGAACTACAATCATAGTTTGCCTGGTATCTCTGTGTTCCTACCACCTGTGAAATCTTTCACTTCATTTCGAACTCCGCCGCTCTGTCTCCATATCAGTTCCCATTTCTTCCAGCTTAGTCAGCACCATGTCAACCTGCTTCAAGGCGATGCTCATGTGAAAATATGGGCTGTGCAGATGCACAGACAAGTGGTGTTTTAGGCCTAGGAATGTCTCCCTAACAGTGAGGGCTGCGAGGCATATAAGGAAGTTGGGCGATTAGATTCCCTGATGGAGGCAATGAGCAGTGGACACTGTTCCTTTGTCACGATAGGTGTCCATAAACTCTTCAAGTGAGCGAACTATCTCAGAAAGCGATTCTCGAAACAATGCAACTGAATCGTGACTTTTCACCCACCTTGTTTAACAATATCGGTACAGCCGGCTGAATGACATTGCGGAAGCTTCTAGATGTTTTTTCAAGACTGCTGTCTTTTTGGGTGACACCCGAAAGAAAGTGCACTCTTAAATGGGCCCTGGAACACTTTTTAAGCATGGTCAAACAACTCTGCAGATCGGTAGTAGAGGCTCCTGACAACACGCGAGCCACATATCATAGCGCAGCATGCAGCCTGTAATTCACAACAAATTATCAAAGTCAGCTTAAAATTTTTAACTGCAAAGTTTACAGCATGTGATGAATAGGTTGTCAGGGCCCTACGTTGGGAAGAGTTAGGGATAAGAGTACAGTATCTTAGTAACCTGCAATTCGCTGTTGACACTGCACTGATGAGTAACTCAGGGGATGAATCACATCTCATGATTACTGAACTAGACACAGAAAGCAGAAAAGTAGGTCTGAGAAATAATTTGCATGAAACTAAAGTAATGTCCAACAATCTCGGCAGAGAACACCACTTTGTGATAAGTGGCGAGACACTGGAAGTTGCTTAGAACAGGTACTAACCGTGAAGTTAAATCGTGAGAGTAGAATAACTAGAAGGAAAAGAATGGGGTGGAGCACATTCAGCAAGCATTCTCAAATTATGAATGGTAGTCTACCACTATCCCTCAAGAGGAAGGTATATAATAGCTGCATCTCAGTGGTACTTACCCATGTATCAGAAACCTGGAGGCTTACTAAGAGAATTCAACTTAAATTGAGGACGACGAAGTAAGCGATGGAAAGAAAAATGATAAGTTCAACAAGAGAGCAGAGTGGGTAACGGAACATACTGGGGTTAAGGATATCAAAGTTGAAATTAAGACGACATGGGCTGGCACGTAGCATGTAGGCTAGATAACAGCTGTTCATTAAAGGGGCCCTGCAACACTTTTTGAGAATGGTCAGAAAATGCTGCCAATCAGTAGTAGAGGCTCCCGACAACACGCGAGCCAAATATTATAGCACAGCAAGCGACACTGTAATTCGCAATAAATTATCAAAGTCAGCTAAAAATTGCTTTTTCTTCTCTCAACAAATCACGGAATATGCCCAAAAATCACACGTGAATTACCCATCTATCAGCCATTGGCTGACTTGAACATGGCGTGCTCGCTCGTTACAAAGATTGCCGCAAGCAGCCGCTATTTGTCTATGCGCGCGCGCGATCACACTCGAAAAGCTTTGCATTTGAAGAAAAAAAAAGGGGGGGATCAAGGTCACGAGCTGCGTGTGACGTTTTTCTGTGGCCCTTCCATCCCTCCCTACTTACCTTTCAGCGCTTACGTCAGGATGAGAGAAGAGAGAATGCAACTGCAGCTTGCGACAAACCGTTGTAACTCCACTCGCACCAGATGGATTCTTATAATTTTTGTGGCGTTGAATTCGTGAGGCAATAAGCTCTTCCAGTGAATTGATTCCATGGTTACATGAAAAAGCATTTCAGGGCCCCTTTAAGGGTAACTGACTGGATTCCAAGAGAAAGCAAACACATGAAAGGGAGACAGAAAGTTAGGTGGGCAGATGAGATGAAGAAGTTTGCGTTTATGACTTGGCAGCGGAAAGAACAGGATCTGGTTGATTGGCGGAACATGGGAGAGGCCCTTGCCCTGCAGTGGACATAGTTATAGTATGCAAAGTCACCCATTAATTAATTTTTGTTATTATGGTTATTACTACTATTATTATTGGCCAGAATGTGGTATATGCTATATAAATTGTATGGTACATGTGTGGGAATTGTAGCTTTGCATTTCAATAAATGTCACAGTTCCCTTTAATTGAATCACAATAGGCCAATGTGTACTTCATTATGTTTGCGACATGGTGAAAACAGCAACAGAGCTCTTGATATGTTGCGTGTATCTCATGCAGCCTATATGCTGTATACGGTGTCTGGCATTGGAGTGACAGCCGGTTCCCACCGCCTGTGGTCTCACAAATCGTATAAAGCTAAACTGCCCTACCGAATCATGGTGATGATTTTCCAGACCATGGCATTTCAGGTGAGCAGGCAACATTTCTTTGTGCACTTTACACAGGAGAATTGCTGTGCTATAGCTTGGTTATATGTACAATTTTTTTTCCCCATGTGTAAGGGCTGGGCACTTTAAAAATTATGTGTATGAAAAAAATGGTAAACCGCTGCACATAACTTTCCACTGCTTCCACTAATGCTGAAAATCCTAATAGTCTCTCTGTTTATGCCACTAATCTAGCAGGCAAGTATCAATTCTGCGCTTTCAGTAACACTTCTCAGCATGTAGACTCTTTTCAGTGCAGTAAAACTGCAATGTCAACAATAGGGTTGCTGTAGTCGTGCTTTTATTTTAGGCATTGACTAAATATGATCAATGAAATGAAATGACAAATATTTTCTGCATGCAAGTGAAACCAAATGCATTTCAAGACAGCAAGGCTCACTAACTGAAAAAAATTCAATTCTTATGGCATTTTGCAAATGCATTGAACTCGTATACAAATGCATTGAACTCCTTTGTATGTGTCATCTTTCTAAGCTCTGGGGAACCAGTGTTGATAACCAAACTCACTCTGGCTTAGAAGAGCTTGTAAAAGTACTAAGCATTTTTTTCTTGTGGGTTACCGTGTTGTGAAGCTAATGTGACATATTTTTGGTTCAAGTGCAAAAAACCTCTGTCCGTCTGTGGTATGACATTATGATGTCGTACAAACTTCTTCATAGTTGAACATATCAATTCAAAAACGAAATGTCCTGTGACGATGTCACAATACTGTATTGTTACAAATTGCTGAACTCCTACTAACAGTCAAGTGAAGATGTTGCTTATCACTCAAGTGACTTGGTGGAATTATTAATTTTGTCCATTGGTAATTTTGGTGCATCTTTGTAGCTTGTGTCATCTTTATGAGGTCTAAATCAGTATCGTTAGCTTCAAAATTTAGTCTAGTAATGCAGTAGACTCACGATAAAATAAAGTTTTTGGTTAATTCAAACATATTTCACACTTGAGTTCTGCTGTTTTCAATTTATTTAGAAGCCCATTTCATTAAAACTGCTCTATTAAATTAATTTGGACAAGTCTTATTTTTACTTCACCATACCAGAAAATATTTGCTGGCTTTGCCATTTCTAGTTGAACATTTGCACTCTGATATCACGTAACAGTCAAAAGCTGATTACTTGTCTATAATTTTGCCAATCTACTCCAACTGCACCCACTAACAATCACGTGAATGAAGAAGAAAAAAGTACATATACGGGCTACTTTTGGTCTATTGCACGGGGAATGCTTCAAGTTGCTTTCGCTGCAGTATCGTGTGGGAAAGCTTACCACTATAGGTGGGGGGGCATTAGTTGTGGCATTAGTTGTTGCATTAGTACAGCACACATTGTATCCCTCAGCTGCGCGAGCAGGTATGCACCTTATAATATAATAACGAATGTCTCTATGATTGACGATGTGCAGAAACTTTAGTGGCACTCATTTAGAGCAATGTATGGCGTTGCTCCGGCCCTGAGAACCAATAAATAAAACTGCACACCAGTTTTATTTTGTCATGTAGCCCCTCCCTACCCTTTTAACTCGACGAATCTCTAGGATATCGAAGGCCAGGTTGGAAGGTATGTAAATGTGGATGTGTCATTTCAGCACAAGTTCATATATAGTCCAAGTCATATTTATGAGAGCTTCCAATGATTTTGACAATCCAGCAAGTCCTGGAGTCCCCTCGATTCTGAATTATCACAAGCCTATGCACATCCTTATGACAAGCTCTCAGCTAAACAACCTTTTGACAAAATTTTTGGTATGATTTTTTAGGGGGAGAGGGGGAATGAGAGAGAGCGAGAGAGAACAGGAAAAGGCAGGCAAATAACTTGGAGCCCTGCAACCCTTCTTCGGCATGTTCAGAAAATGCTACTGATCAGAACTTGACACTTTTTCCTTTTTTCTGTGCAAATGATTCGTCTCGTGCGCCACCGATGACGGTTCTGTGTATCGCTAGCGCTCTGTTGCCACAGAAGGGTAGATTCGGCTTTTGTAATCTTGTAGGCTCTGGCTAGAACAGTAGCGCTTTTGTCATAGTTCGCTTGAATCACGCGGAATTTCTTTACTAAGTGTATTTTCTTCTTGTGATACTTCGTTAGATGGCTACCAGCATTATGGGAAATGAAAAAACATTAACGTTTAGCATATCTTCTGTATATGTGCCGCCATCGCGGTCAGGATCGTGTGCCCGAGTTAGTAGCTTAACTCACTGGGCTTGATCGCGTTGAAGTATTTACATGAAAGCGTGAATGTCCCGCGAGCAAGTTAATGAGAGTCTGTGCTTTTTTGGAAGTGAAGTGCAATTAATTTTGTGGCTTATTTGCAAAAGTTTGCATGGTGTACAGAGACTCAAGCTGAACAGAAATTGACACTCCGATCTCAATCGTAGTCATGTGGACTTGTATACACAAAACGCTTGCCGAAAAAATAAAATTGAAAAGTTTACCGACCAGCGCATTATGGCGGACAGCAAGCGTGGGTTGGGCAAGTTGGATGTTCATTGAAACTTGTTACACGTATTGTTGGCTCCAAATGAAATGCCAGCTGTTGTGTGCGCAGTAAAGTTTGCACTCTTATGAATATGGATAAATACTTTCCTGTGGTTTGCCACTTGTGAGCCACATTTATGCTTTCGATGACGTCACTGGTGATGACAGGACAATGCGCACTATACAGTTCCTGATGCTTGAGCAACGTGCTCCTCTGTTCTTGTTTCACTTGAGAGCAATAGTACAGCTTGGTAAACAGTATGAAAAAGTCTGCAAAAGGGTCCACGAAAGGGAAAAGAAAAAGCTCTTTGCTGCGTTCTAACAAGATTAAATATGTTCTACCAAAAGCCTTTTATTCCTCATCAAGCGCACTCGCCACAGTTGTCTAGTAGCTAAAGCACTCGGCTGCTGACCTACAGGTCGTGAGATCAAATCCCCACTGTGGCAGTAGCTCTTTCAGTGGAGGCAGAAATGCTTGAGGCCTGTGGACTTATATTTAGGTGCATGTTAAGGAACCCCAGGTGGTCGAAATTTCCAGAGTCCTTTACAACAGTGTCTCTCATAATCATATAGTAATTTTGGTACGTTAAACCCCAACAATTATGATTACTTATTATTATCCTTGTCAAACGCAAAAATTGACCAACAGCACCCAGCATCGGCATTGTTCACACAAGTGATGCAAAAAATCATATGACGACATCACCATCATGTCATCATGACATCACAGACCAACATAGTTTATGATTCATGACGTCACATAACATGACTTTATCATGAGACGTCATGTTATGTGACGTCTGATGATTAAGTCATCACACGAAATTCTCACTTTGCATTCCTTCCGTGATTGGCCCACCGATTACGGAGGCAGTGCAAAACCACATTATGTCTAGAAAGCATTTCGAGGGAGGCGGGCAAAGACTAATAAACCTATTGAAAAAAAAAAGAATGCGACTTTCGCTTTCTGTCGTCTTAAACAAATGCATAAGGGACCCTGTGAGTTTATATAGTACAATGATTGCACCGCATTCTTTCAGGAGTTGACCATTCAAAGTGATTTACCCTATTTCATTGCAAATACATCTTATTACGACTTTCTGATTCCAAACATTTGTACTTATCTACAGGTAGTATGATCACTTTAATTTTGTTTAGCATACTTTCATAAGACCATGAATGAAAAAACAATCATTGATTTATTAATGCAGGTATTACGATATGTTAAAAAGAAAAATCTCTGCACAATTTGTCAATATTTAATACCACCGCCGTACATTCCATTGGTTTTTCATACTTTTAACCTTTTTGTTTCTTGTTTCAAATTTAAGTACTAGTACTTAAAGCACGTGCTTACACGACGGCTGCTGAAAATTTGGACCTAATCAAAGGTTGTTGCCTGTAACGACTGCTTAATTTATTTCAATCTCATCACTTATCGTTTGTTATGTGCTTAAATTTGGAACATCGGAACTGAACTGAAGAATTGGATTGGTTTGGATTGGATAAACTTTTATTTGGTCCTCCAAAACACAGATCACTGTGTTGCGGGCAGCTCCCACGTGGGTACTGAGATGCTGAGCTCCACAGAACTGAACCGAAGAAGCAGGCTCGGAAACCGAACACGTGCAGCATACATTATACATACATTGCGCTATAACGGAGACACGATACACATTGAAGTCAGTGGTAGAAAATGGGCTGGCAAGTCATTTTGAGTGCGCCATTGCCATAGAACAGTCAGAAGAAAAAAATTCTTGCCATACATAATGTTACGTACAATCCAAATGGTGTACGAATAACTGTTTATTGGGGCTAACTTGTGCCTGAAAAGTAAAGGAAAATGTAGCGGCGTTTCTAACAGGCAGTCAGCAAAAGGGGATCAATCTCCGAGAAGCCCTCGAGCGGTGCACCACTTCTTTTCCATCAAAATCCCGTGCTGAGGAGGCGCGCGCCATCACGACCTTTTCTTGTTTCATCACCAAGCCGCTGGTCTCTTGGTGGGCGCACGAACTAGCGCGCGTAGTTTGAATACTGCGTCTGCCTTGCGTCATTATCCCTCCTCCAAAAACGCATCGTCCCGATGCGTAAAAGCAGTGTTGCTGAGATGGTCTGAATGCATGGTTTCCATCGCAGAAATAGGTATTCCTCATAATCGGGTGTGTATAGTTCGATGTTCATTTCCTGTCATAGTATGGCTTCATTCTGACTACATGCACGATTTCTGTGCTCCTTCGGCATCTTGATGAGCTCACTTGTCCTTCCGGTGACACCTCATAGTTCAAGGAGCTGACGCGACGAAGGACTCGATAAGGGCCGAAATAGCGGCGCATGAGCTTTTCGGAGAGGCCAGGCGTCCGCACCGGAGTCCAAATCTAAACTCGGTCGCCTGGTGCGTACTCAACTCCTCTCCGCCGAAGGTTGTAACGGTTTGCATCCACGCGTTGTTGTTGTTTTATGTGATGTCGCGCCAACTGCCGTGCTTCTTCGGCTCGCTGAATGAATTCGCTGATGTCAGGCTTGTGCTCTGTATTGTCGCCTACAGGCAGCATTGCATCTAATAATGTGGTAACTATTCGACCATAGACTAGCTAGAATGGCGTCACTTTAGTAGTCTTCTGCACAGCAGTATTGTAAGCGAAAGTGGCGTACGGCAGTATCTTGTCCCACGTACGGTGCTCCAAGTCAACGTAAATGGACAACATATCGGTTAGCCCATTCGCTTGGGGGTGGTAAGCCGTTGTTTTCCTATGACATGTGTGGGTAAGTTTCATAATGAACTGCGTCAGATTGGCTGTGAATGCAGTTCTTCGATCAGTGATAACCACCTTTGGGGTACCATGCCGTAGTACAATGTTAGTGACGAAAAATTCAGCGACTTCTATAGCCGTGCCCCTGGTGAGAGAGGCTGTCTCGGCATACCGGGTTAAGTAGTCTGTCGCCACTACTATCCATCGGTTGCCCATTGATGACGTAGGAAATGGACCAAGTAGATCCATTCCTACTTGTTCAAATGGAGATTCAGATGGTTCAATTGGTTGGAGAAATCCTGCAGGTTTCAATGGAGGCGTTTTGTGTCTCTGGCAATCTCTACATGTCCTTGCACATTGCTGTACAATATAGATGTGTACATTGATGGCTAGCAGATGACACCAGGAGCAATCCACACTGAACATGCTCCTGGTGGCTACTCTGCTCGATCTTGCAGGGCATTTTGCTTGAATATTCAATACAAATTGTTGTATGAACTTGACCATTAAAGTTTCAGTTACTCGAGCAGGAGAGACTGGCTCGTAGCATCAAGCAGTCTTCACATAGCAAGCATGCGCGCGCAAAGAGCGGCACCTGAGTCCTCCCTTCGACATCACACACGAGAGGATGACACTCAGAGATCTATGGCCATTGGCTGTTTTCAGTATTGTGATCTAAATATTTACCATGGCTGTTGCAAGATGCCACCACGTGCCCACACGCGAACTTGAAATAACATTCATAGTAAGTTGTGCGTGCATAGAAAAATATAAAGTGCTTAAGGTCATGGTGTACACTGATGAATCTTTTTGACCCCTTGTCATCCCCCTTCCTGCATAGCTGTCAGCAGGCTTTCTGGCATGAAAGAAGAAAGTGCTAATAGTGTGCGGAAAATCTCTGTAACTCTGCATGTGCTTGGTGGATTCTAAAACTTTTTGCAGCTATTGATTAGTGAGGCAATAAACTTTTTTTAATGAAGCCACTTGGTGAAAAAAGTTTTGTGGGGCCATTTAAGAAATCATGTTGTTTGGTGCTTATATACTTACCTCCTAATTGAGGACATTTAGTAGAAGAATGACAAAATAATTCACTCGCAAAGTTCTTGTAATTGAACAGCAGTGCGAGTTCTAACTTAATAATTGAGTGCAAGCTCCTTCTATAGAACTACACGTCTTGTGCCCTTAGTGCATCCACCCTCCAAAATAGTTATTTAAAGCAGCTCTAATGAGAATTATTATCACTGCCATGTGGTCGTAAAAGTCACCCAACATAATGATCCATGCTTTTCAGCAAGTCTTCACAGAGGCATAAATATTTGCATTTTTCAATACATGCTACTCCATTGGCTTATGCATGCATGACCGTGTGCAGAAGCATGGTAGAGTCCCCTGAATGGTTTGCATATGCCACAGTGCTGAAATGGCTTATTCTTGTGGCTCCTTTCAGAATGATATCTTTGACTGGGCAAGAGATCACAGGATGCACCACAAGTACTCCGAGACGACTGCTGATCCACATGATGCCACGCGAGGCTTCTTCTTCTCGCACGTTGGCTGGCTTCTTGTGCGCAAGCACCCTGATGTCCGTAACAAGGGCAAGAACATCGACATGAGTGATCTGTTGGCTGACCCAGTTGTCCGGTTTCAAAGAAGGTATGGACCATGCTTTGGTATCTGCGCAATATTGAGGGTATCAAGTAGCAGTTTTTACAACTAATAATAAGTATGGCACAGGATGCATTCTGGAGCCAATTCATAACTAGAGAAGTGCTCTTTTTCATGTTGTCTGTAGAAACTTCAGCAAGCGCAACCATGATGCTAAGATACTTCGGAGCATTTATATGTGTATTAATTAAGCTACATGGTTTTTGGTGCAGGTACTACTTTCCCCTGATGCTGTCTCTTTGCTTCATCCTTCCGGCTGTGTTGCCATGGTGGCTGTGGGAGGAGACACTGTGGAATGCCTTCGTTGTCTGCTCTTTGACTCGCTACTGTTTCACCCTCAACATGACGTGGTTGGTGAACAGCGCCGCACATATCTGGGGAAACCGACCATATGACCGGCACATTAGTCCACGGCAAAACCTTGTGACCATTGTTGGGGCCCATGGAGAAGGCTTCCACAACTACCATCATACATTTCCCTATGACTACCGCACCAGTGAGCTGGGCTGCCGAATCAACACAACCACATGGTTTATTGACTTTTTTGCCTGGCTCGGTCAGGTGTACGATCGCAAGGAGGTGCCCACGAATGTGGTGGAGCGGCGCATGGAGCGTACCGGTGATGGTTCCCGAGGCCTGACTGCAGGCACGCGCAGCTGGTGATGGGTTGGCTATGTCAACCACCTGTCTTTCCTGCCTCTTCTGTTTTTCTATTATGGGGGTGTGATCTGACAAGTTAACCACCCTCAGCCCTTTCTGTCATGTGGGACTTGTTATTTATAGTTGATGTCGCACTGTGAAGAAATGTCTCTTTGTTTATTTAAAACTTTCTGTTTGTCAGGAAGTGTAGATGAATGCTTCCGCTGTTAGTGTGTTGGAAACCTTCTATTGGGTGTTCAGTGTCTGTTCTGGACATCACCTTTTCAGACCCGGTGAGATTTTGATCAGCAACACTGTGTCCTTGCATGTCAAAGCACAACTAAGCTAGGCTGAGTGAAATAAAACCCTTCTTAGAGTCCACTGTGATGTAACTGTTCAGTGGTCATTTTTCCTGTTGTAGTCACCATGCATGAATTTTGCAAACTATTCGTGTTGCAAAATTTGTTCTCTAGCTTGCATTTTTGTCCTTTTGCACTTTATTATGGGGTTATGTTGCAGAAAGCTGAAGAAAAAGGTTTCTGCCAAAGCTCTAATATAAATTGGTGCCAAGCATTTATCACATGTCTTGCTTTTCTTTTTATGTGTTGTGTGCTGACTAAATTTTTTAGGCTTGAAGCACTCAGAATCATGAAAGCACATGTAAACATTAACTGACTGGCTGTGTAAATCTCAAGGAATGGGCGGGACACTGTGGGAACAGAAAACAGTAAGAGTGCTTAACTGTACTGCACATAATACCCGATAAAGGTGTTGCAGGAAACGTTCAGTTCCGTGCAGAACTAAGCTCCTCAGCCTGCGGTTATTGTACACTCTACATGTTCAAAACTTACTTCATTCTTTTACTTCTCTTTGTGTACACAGTGGCCATCATGTGATGTATTAGATGAAATCTAGAAGTTTTCAAGTCCTGTGATAGTTGTACATTATTGTTTGAGTTAATTTCATGTGCACTTGACTGCCACATGTTTAGTTTTGCTGTGACTAATAAGAAACAGCTTGCTAGCATGCATTTAAAAAAAGCTTTACAGCAGTTGCTAAATCAAGGTGTTGAACAATGCCAGCTTACCCTAGTCATGTGCTTCAGTGCTTTAAAATTGACAGCTGAGTAAAAGAAGGGTGAATTTTATAGCTATGAAGAATGAAACACTGCAAAAACCATGGTAAGAGGAGTGCTTGCTCTGTGAGCAAGAATATTTCAAAATACCATATCATACAGTCATCCATGAAATGACAAGTTATGTGACTTCAGCATGATTATATGTACTGATTTGGCAGTAGGTGTGCGCATTAATGGCAACGAATACACTGAATTTTCTTTTGGCACAACTTAGTCAGTCATTAGTAGAACTAATCAGGCTTGCGGAAAAGATCCAGGCACGATCAATCACAAATTCATCAAGTTATTTTTTTTTTTGCTATAAGTCTTGTATAAGCATTCCTCTTTTGAAATATTGTGTTTTGTTGTTTGTCCCTGCAAACTAGAAGAAAAAACTTAGTTGGTTGGTGGTAATTCATAACTGACAAGTTGCGGTGCTAAAACATCTAGGCTTATGTCGTGAACCCCGTTCTCTTTGACTTCATGTTTTTAGCACACTAACTTGTCAAATGGGCTGCTGTGGTGGCATGGTATTAGGCTGATCGTGAAGTTGCTTAGTTACTCATTACCTCTTGCTTGATATTTTGCAGAAGTCCTTGAGCTAAGGTGCCTGTGTGTTGCACACCTGACTGTAATTGGCAAAAGCTTTTGTGTTATGTAATGCACAAAGAAAATGTGAAGTAAAAATCCTCTTCCAAATGTCCTTTGTAGTCCAAAGCATATAGTAGACATTTCTAAAGTTTGCCAGGTATGCATCCTTACTGACAGCTTCAATCATTTAGGCTAGGCGCTTCATTTCAGTGAGCATGTTCTGAAATGCTCCAGAGTCGGCAAAACAAAACAAAAATTACCAGTTTGTAGACGAGGCTTCTGTACACATGTGAGCCAAACCGCCCTGCCACGGTGGTCTAGTGGCTAAGGTACTCGGCCGCTGACCCGCAGGTCGCGGGATCAAACCCCGGCTGTGGCGGCTGCATTTCAGATGGAGGTGGAAATGTTGTAGGCCCGTGTACTCAGATTTGGGTGCACGTTAAAGAACCCTGGGTGGTCTAAATTTTCGGAGCCCTCCGCTATGGCGTCTCTCATAATCTTATAGTGGTTTTGGGATGTTAAACCCCACAAATCAATCAATCATCAATCATGTGAGCCTAACCCTACAACACTGCGTGTAGCAGGTAATCTATAGTATTAAAAAAAAAATGCTAGGCCCACGCAGAATGCTCAGCACAATCGCAGTATAATTTTTTAAACACTTTGGGTAACTGCGAGAAGCAAATAAGCAGGGTACCCACTATGCCATATTCATTTTTGTGTAGTAGAGAGGCATTCACTCTGCCATCTCTTTGTCATTCTTTGGAGGTACATGGTACCCGCTGGAAACTTGCAAAAAATTTGTGCAATTTTGATGCTATGGCTGAAGGCGATGAAGAATTATGCCTGAAGCTTTTGGAATGGGAGAAGTTGGAGCATTCAACGGCCCACTCGTTATGCAATTCGCATAGTGTGACAGCTGGTTGTTTCTTTGCTATTCTAAAATGCTTCATTACTCATATACAGTAGACTCTCTTTGCCCCGCCATGGTGGTCTAGTAGCTATGGTACTTGGCTGCTGACCCGCAGGTCGCGGGATCGAATCCCAGCTGCATTTCTGATGGTGGTGGAAATGTTGTAGGCCCGTGTGCTTAGATTTGGGTGCACGTTAAGAACCCCAGGTGGTCAAAATTTCCGGAGCCCTCCACTACAGCGTCTTTCAAAATCATATAGTGGTTTTGGGACGTTACACACTGCATATCAATGAATAGACTCTCTTTAAGACAAACTGCAAGGAACTACGAGCATTAGTTTGTCTTATCAGGAGTTCATCTTATAAGTACCCCGAAAAATTATATGTCAACATGCCAAGTATGCCCAAATATGTTGCTCGAAAACACTGAATGAAGTTTACTAATTCGAAGAAAAGGAACAAGAAAAAGCATATACGTATTTGGCTCAGCTTGACAAAAACTATGCTTTCGGGTAGAGTATTTAGACTAACCTAACGAGTACTCGGTTTCACAAGTTCATAATAAATCTGCTCATGAATAAATTGCTACCGCATTTTAACAATAAAACTGTAGCACCACCCTATTTGTATGATTAGAAGAAGATAAAAAGGAAGAGGCAAGCACAAATTTCTTTCAAGGAATAGAAAATTTATTCTTCGGGCTGTTCCCCTTCTGAGAGGCCGTTTTACTGGCTTTGCTATCACTTTTGGATATGCCTTCATATCGTACCGCTAACCTAACGAAGTCAATATACGCAAAGTTCCTTATGAAAGTCTGCTAGCTTTTCTTTGTGGTATGGATATTTTTTTTATTTTCAGGCCGCAGTAACTTTTCCGAATGACATGCAGCTGAATATCTCTGTTTATGCTACTCACGATCACAAGCCTTGGGCAGATAAAGAAGACACGATGTAGCTATATTTAGTGTGCGAAATTACCTTCCTTTGTCGTACACTTTGATAATAAAAATGGTGCATTACAATTTGCTGCCTTTTACAGCGAACAGATACGACGTGTACAGGCCTTATGCAAAACAACACAAACTGACCACAACATGTGCCCAAGTGCCATTGTGCGACGCCTCTGATGGGAGTGCTAGTGCCACATATGTGGTTTTGGTTTCATGTGATTATAATGCACAGCAAATTTTTGTTTCTGTTTTCACTTTCATTTGGCTTTTTTTTTCGCCCCCTCTTCCCTTGCATTTTCCCCTCTAGCCAAGCTCTTGTGTTCTTCTATTCTCCACTGTACTCTTGTTGGCGAACTGAAGAACAAGAGAATACAAAAGGACGGAATACTTTTTGTAGCTTTCTTTGCTGATAAAGCCGGTCTTTCTCTACCTACAGGCTAGGGGTGAGGGGGATACCAGCTTTAAGCGCTGACCTTTCTTTTCCACTTATCTCGCTTTCTTCCTCCACGTCGCATTTCACTTTCGAATTGCTTTGAGTCTTTGTGCCAGGAAGTTTTTTTTTTTTCTTCTTCAGTTTGCTTTCTCTTGTTTACCTGAATGCCCCCATCAAGACTCTAATGTTCATTGTGCCGAATTTCAATCATTGTTGGACGCTGTGATAGTTTGTCTTAACAGAAGAGGCCTGTTAGTACACGGTTTGTGTTAAGGAGATTTTTTTTGCGTTAGGTCTAAGGGAAACCAAACGAGCACTCCCGTGTTGTTCTGTCTTAACAGGAGTTTACTGTAAACGCAATTCATTTTCCAGCATGGAGCCTGCCTAGGGTCAGTTTGCAATAGAGTTTTAAGCACTAGTGTTGCTCAGCCCTGCCATGGTTGTCTAGTGGCTAAGGTACTCGGCTGCTGACCCGCAGGTCGCGGGATCGAATCCCGGCTGCATTTCCGATGGAGGCGGAAATGTTGTAGGCCCGTGTGCTCAGATTTGGGTGCACGTTAAAGAACCCCGGGTAGTCTAAATTTCCGGAGCCCTCCACTAAGACGTCTCTCATAATCATAGCGTGGTTTTGGGATGTTAAACCCCACAAATCAATCAATCAATCAACCAGTGTTGCTCAGTGGTAGAATACTGGGCTGGCACACAGGGTACCCGGATTCGAGTCCCTTCGGGACCTTGGTGTTTTTTGTTTATTTAGTTTTTTCTTATTTCGTGCAATAGTGGTTACAGACACCTGCGGTATCAAAAACAACCCTTCTTGTGGTCTCGTAACAGCTTCCGCTGTAAAAGTGGCAGATCTTGCTTACAGAGATTGCTTCACAATGAAGTCATCGGGTGCACAGCAAATGAAAGCAGATGAATTCATTATGTATCGTGTGATTTTTTTACTGCAAGAGCAGTCTTGGTAATAGTAAAATTATACCCCATCTGTAATGTGAAAAATGCTGGAAGAATGTTTCATTATTGATCTTACAATTACAGCTGACAATAATCTGCTTAATATTGCTACCTGTAGGCTGCCACAAACCATAGTGCGAATGCGCGTGTGCGCCCGACGAAGAAGATGAGGCTCGCTGGCTGCTCGAGCTCGGAGCCAGACTGGCCAGTGCTGCAACCGCTCTTGCAAATATATTTTTCGAATATATTCGCAATACTTTGTCTCGTTACTCACGTAACATATTTGGTGGAGGTGGAACGATCCCCGTCCTCACCACGCAGCTCCGCAGTGGCCGCATCCTCCAGCTTCCCGCCATGGCTTCCAGTGACAACGCGTCCGCTTCATCATCTGCGGCTTCTCCGACAACCTTTGTCGCCGTCCAAACACCACGTGATCCCGGGACATTTTCTGCGCAACCTGGCCTCGACGTCGACAAATGGCTTCGCCTTTATGAACGGGTCAGTCAAACTCACCGTTGGGACCCTACCATGATGCTCGCTAATGTTCTCTTCTACTTGGACGGAACCCCGCGTGTCTGGTACGAGACAAATGAGTCCGAACTCACCAGCTGGGACACGTTCAAGGAGAAGCTACGTGACATCTTTGGGGACCCGACCGGTCGCCACGCAGCTGCACGACAGGAGCTGGCTACCCGTGTCCAGTCGCCAACTGAATCGTATGTGTCATACATCCAAGAAGTTCTCGCTCTTTGCCGAAAAGTGGACGAGGCGATGTCTGAGGCTGAAAAGGTTGGACACGTTTTGAAGGGGATCGCGGACGACGCCTTCAATTTGCTGGTGTACACTAACGTCTCGACCATCGACCGTGTAATTCAAGAATGCCGCCGTTTCGAAACATCAAAAAGCCGTCGGGTGCGCCCTCCTTTTTCTCGGTTGCCAAACACGGCGGCTACGTCCACCTGCTCCGATTCTACCGTCACACCGCCCTTTGAGCAGAGTGTAACGCGTATCGTTCGACGGGAACTTGAAGCAGCAAGTCCAGCGCCGCTTCAGCCCACTTCTTTCGAACATACGATACCGACAACCCCCGCGATCTCCGTTATTCAGGCGGTCGTACGACAAGAATTCGCCAACCGCGGGTTCCCTGATGCTTGCCCCATCTCTTGCCCCTCCTCCAGACCAATTCCCATTAATGCACCTCGACGTGACCCATTTGTTGCTCCACGATCTCGCAACCCGGCGGAATGGCGAACTCCTGACGACAAACCGATCTGCTTCCGGTGCCACCGCGTTGGACATGTCTCCCGCTACTGCCGTGCCTCCTGGACGCCGCCACATAGGAGCCAGTTTTTCGCACCTTATAGCCCATATGAAGATCTTCGCCGGTATTCGTCCAGCCGTACCGCCCCTGCTTTCGACACGTCTAACAGCCGCCTTCCTGCTCGTTCTCCGTCCCCTCAACGCCGTCGTTCCCCGTCGCCCCAGCCACGCCGCCATCACTCGCCGCCTAACTTTTCATCGTACCCGACGGAAAACTAGACAGTGCAGCCCCTGGAGGTAGTGCTGCATCATCCCTGTCTGAACCAAACCCTCCATTGACGCTTCATACGAACAAAAATCTTGTCGATTTACACGTGGACGGTATTTCTCTGTCGGCACTAGTCGATACTGGCGCACATGTGTCCATAATCAGCGTTCATCTTTGTCGCCGCTTAAGAAAAGTACTCACGCCCCCTGCTACCGAAGCTGTACGTGTGGCCGATGGCGGCACTGTTCCTGTCATTGGCATGTGTACGGCTCGCATACGCATCGCCGACCGTTACATCCCTGTTCTATTCACGGTGCTCCAGAACTGTCCTCA